GGAGGAGTAATACTTCTAGATACCAGAAGCCACAGGAAGAGGGAGTGCTCTTGTGTTCGGGTCTTACTTGCAGGTTTCCCCACAGGTATCTAAGCTGTCACTGTGAGAACAGGATGCTGGACGAGATGGGGCCTGATCCAGCAAGCTTTACGTGTATTATTGTGATGGAAATTTGGCGTGGTTCTTACCTCATCAGTGTTACAAGGTGGCTGAAGTTTATATGTTTGTATTCTTCATTTAAACATTTTTTTTAAAAAAAGTTTGTAACCTTTGCGTTGTTCTCCACAGCCTCATTCGCTGCCCACATTTCACTTTGGGGCTGCTGAGGATGATGTGATTAAAACAAAAACTTGACTTGGAATAACTTGGAACAGATTTTTACATTGCCCTAATTAGGCTATTCCCAGTCCTGTTATACCTCACAGCACCCCCTCCACCTTTTGCAGAACACTCGGGGGGTGTTAAATAGTTCTTTAAAAGGCTGCAGTGGAAGTGATACTATATATCTCCCCTCCAAGCCAGATGCTGGGGGGGGGCAGGGCAGTGTTTAGCTTTTCCTCCCTCCTCCCTAAAAACATCTTCTAGGGGTTTTTTTTTTTGTGGAAGGAACCTTCCGGAACATGAAGTTCCCTTCCCTGCCATCCTGAAGCTGCCTCCGGAGCAGGGAAGGTCCCCGGTTTAAAAATGATTCTAATTGTAGGCTTTGTCACAAAACCACAAGGATGTCTTGCAGAAAACGCTGGCGCTTCACTCGGTGCTGACACTAAATACACACAGGCTCAGTTAAAGGCATATCCAGGCATGTTGATCGGCAGCTACGTGCTGTAGCCTTGAGCCTCCTCCTCTGAGCTAGCTAAATAAGAGTTATAGAGTGCCTTTTAAAAAAAAAAGCAAGAATGCATTTACAGACAGGCTCAGGTGAACAACCTATAAATCTTCCTTGTAGATGTTTTTCAGTAAATCATTCTGAGAACCAAAGGGTACATTGAACCCCCTGAACTGAATGTCATGCCTCCCTTTGCTGCAGATGCAGCTTGGACTTTTTCTCCCTCGAGTCTCCGTGTCTCTCACTTCCACAGATCTCTTTTTACTGTGGAAGGTACCCATGCTCAGGAACGCCTTTGCTCTCACCTGTGAAAGGTTGCAGGGCATGCAGATATCTCGCGTGCTGCCCGGCCTCTTCCATTTCCATTCCTGTGGCAATGTCTGGGGCCAGTAGGAGAGTATGTAGCATTGGCTGCAGAAAGGAGCACTGTTGGGGGGGGGGAGGCAGCACACCCTGTGGAAGAAAGCACTGAAAAATGGCGAGGCACCAGCAGAGTCCCCCAAGGGGCCCAAGGGGCCCAGTTGCCAGTCAGGAGCTGGCGTAGCGAGAAAATGGACACGCATATCCTTCTGCCCTCGATGGCACGAGTGCTGGGGCTTTGGATGCAATGGCGGGTCTGCCCCTCTTCTTGCTGGGTTTTGCTGCTCCCCAGCCAGGCTTTGGATTGCTCTGCCCAGTACAGTGGTACCTCGGGTTAAGAACTTAATTCCGGAGGTCCGTTCTTAACCTGAAACTGTTCTTAACCTGAAGCACCACTTTAGCTAATGGGGCCTCCCGCTGCCGCTGCGCCGCTGCTGCACGATTTGTGTTCTCATCCTGAAGCAAAGTTCTGAACCCGAGGTAATATTTCTGCGTTAGCGGAGTCTGTAACCTGAAGCGTCTTTAACCTGAAGCGTATGTAACCTGAGGTACCACTGTACGCTTGAAAGTAATATAACCCGTGCTCTTTTTCTAGAAAAAGAGGTGCCGGAACTCACCATGAACGCCTCCCTTGTTGTCTTAGAATGGCAACAGCGTTCACCTGAGAGGTGCCAGAACTGAGTTCCAGAGAGCAGGGGTGTAGGAAGGGGGGGCGGTGGGAGCTGACTGCCCTGGGTGCCCTCACTGAGGGGGGTGACATTCAGCGCGCTGCCTGCCCACTACTCCCAAGCCTACCCCAAGCCGTCGGGGTAAGGGGGGGCAGCTGGTCCGCTGTAGGAATGATTGCTGGGTGCGGAGCACACTCCCCACCTGCAGGCAGCCTCACCTGCCTACACGCGTGACCTTGAGGTGCAGGGCACACTCCCCCTCACAGATAAAGCTGTCTGAACATCTTGCCCTCTGTCTAACCTTTTGCGGTCTCAGTAGTCTGCGGTGTCCTGTCTGTGACCTTTGTCTCTTTCGTCATACACTGTGCAAGGGGAAAATGACGCGGTGGAAACAGGTGCCGAAATAACTTTGTACCACCCCACGATCTCGGGACTGGAAGATTTGTAAAGGTCACAGCCCAAAATGTATCTGCCTGGGTTTGCATATTGTGTCAATAAAAGGAGCCTCCACAGAGCTGGCCGGCAGCTTGCTTGCAGCTCACAGCTCACCTGCATTATCAACTCCTGCCTCATGTCCTTCATTTCACGCTGCTTTGCCGGCAGCATTCCCCCCTTCCTCCTTTGTTTTGACAGCTTGGGGGAAGCTTGAGAGTCGTGGCGAAGGTCCACCATGGGTGGCTCACTCTGCCCCTGGCGGCAGGGCATGTGTGCCGCTCTGGCACCCGAACGGCTATCCCACGCCTGTCCTGGGCAGCGCAGGCATATGCTCTGCCGCTGCTGGAGAGATCCGGCTGAAGGGAAAAAAGCCCCGAATATAATTTAAAAGTGCCTAGATGCTGCTGGATTATGCTACATATTTACGCTCTTTTCAGCCCTAAAAAATATGTGTATATATAATCCGTTCTTGCTGTCATTTCAAACACCTGAAATACGAGCCCATTCAGACCCTGAGCAGATGGAATGGGATTGCAGACCAAAGATACACAAGTGCTCCACTTATATCCCTGGAACATTTGAACTGATGCTGTGCTGGGACACTTTGAACCTTACTGTTCTCCATGGGACCAGTATGTGTCACAGCAAATGACTGAATTTTCCCATCTCTGCTTGGCAGCATCCGTTGTTCACATTTTAATTTATAATTTTATGGCTAGGACAGCTTCTACCTGGGAACTCTCTCTTGACACTAAAGCTTATAATCCATCCCCCTTTCTTGCCTTTCCTCTTGTTCAGTTGAATTCTATGCTAGTTCTATATGCTACAATATATTAATGTAATCTGTATGGCGATCAGTTGCAAAATCGTCCTTGGCTTCCACAGAGGTGAGATTGAGTATAAAGATCAATCTGCTATTGTGCAATTTTTTACACAGAAAACATCTCCGTAGGTTAAATGATCCACAAGCTTTTAAGCAGACGTTAGTAGCAGAGTTCTAATTATGAATACATTAAATGTATAACAAAAATCCACTTGTGCTATGGTAGGCACAGTTTGTAATAATGATATAACACTTCATCTGCAGGGTTAATGCCACAATATAAGCACCAGCTTTTTAAATACCCAAGGCACAAGGGCCATTCTGTAACTCTTTGTTATCTGTAATTGGATTATCTCGGTTTTAACTCAACACAGTACTTTCAGAAATGTGCATTTTAAAAGATGCACATTGTACTTGATATTTTTGGTTGTTGTTTTTTTACTTTACTTGGTTTTCACTAAAATGTTTTAATGTTGAAATGTACCCACTAAATAGAGACTTGACTTTTGCAAATATCTTGGGTGGGATCCAACTAAGTTGATGCATGCACACAAAGAGGTCTGCTCACACAACAGGACTTCTCCCCCTCAGCTCTTCCTCATGCCCCTCCCCATTTCTGTTCCAGAGTGATGGTGAAAAGCCCAGAACTGGTGGGGGGGTTTTTTGGGGGGGGAGAATAGGAGGGAAAGCCTTTTTACATGAGCAGAGCCATTCCATGCACACATAACCCCATTTAGCACTACCCTGAATCCCCCCCCCCCCGGTTTATGTTTAATTTTAAAAATCTCAGCTGCTACTGAATTTAGCTAGGTTTAACTAAAGTCAAAGTCTACTCTGAAAGTTGTTAAACACTTGCACTTCTGCACTTATTTAATGTTTTTGCGGACAGTTTACAACTAATGTCCTTTAAGTTTTACATTTTGCAGTATATGCATATACATTTAAGTATATACATTTTGCAGTATATGCATTCTGTTAACTGAAATAAGTGTATTTTACTCCTAATTATAGTTATTTTAAAATGTTTTTAATTGTTTTTATTGATAATATTAACATTTCCTGTCAACCGCTTTAGAGGTTTTACTACAATCAACTGGCATATAAATTTTGTTAATTAAATGAAGCAGGTAATTGAATAATAAATTGTTGCCAAAAGAAAAAGAGGAAGAAGTTAGTTTTGTTTTGCATCATACTGTCCCTGCCATCCTGAGGATGGATCTTTTGGGGATTTAGGCTACTATTTACAAATCAGTTCAAAGGAATCTTCAAGGTCTTTTGAAAAATAATGCATTCATGTTACTTTAGATATTTCATTCCTTCTCTGCCCACTTCTGGAACAAATCCATTCAGGTTCTCCTAGAATCAAAAACTATTTTTAATAGTCTCAGGTGGGCTGAGATGCTGTATGTAGAGTGGCCCAAATAGAGGCAGCTATGGGAAGAAAGAAATGTTTGAACTGGCCCATCTAAGCTGACACATCTAGGAGCAATTTGTGTGATTGTGAGGCCACGTTTTCCTGTCAATGAACTTGCTGTGAATTGCTGTTAAGATCCAGGGGCTGCCTATGTGTGTGAGAGAGTTGGGTTACATGCTCCTCACAGCTTTGTCTTTAAGAACCATTCCATGTAGAGCGATTTACAACTGTCTGAAGCAGCCCTATGATGCTGTAATGTTAAATTGATAGCTAGAAACGCTTTGGAAAGGCCCTGTGTATAAAAGTTCTACAGACGCATCTCGATTATTTATCCCCATCAGCCATTCTCAGGGTAGTTAGCAGATTTCTTCAAGAAATACTTTTCATTATGCTGATTACTAGGGTGAGGTTCACTTCTTTCCCCGATGATTTTGCGGCAGACCTAAATGTTTTGCTTCTCCCTTTGCTTTGCAGTACAGAATTGGACAGCTGTACATGATCAGTAAACACAGCCATGAGCAAAGTGATCGTGGAGAAGGGGTAGAAGTGGTGCAGAATGAACCCTATGAAGATCCGAATTATGGGAATGGTCAATTGACCGAAAAACGGGTTTATCTGAACAGGTAAACATTTCTGCCATTGCATTGTCCTGGAATGTCTATGCAGATTTGGGAGGTAAAGTCTTCTTGTGCAGTTTGTTCTGTTTCAGGCACGGGGTGTGTGGTGGAAAACCACTGATTTATAGAATATATGAGAGGAACCATGGGGGTGAAGGTTATTTCCAAATGTGCAGCCTTTGCCATTGAAAAGGAGTGTGGCATGGGGGCAGAGTAGTAGCTTTGGAAATGACATACCGTATTTTTCCGTGTATAAGACTAGGTTTCCCCCCTAAAGAATAATGTCCAAAATTTAAGGGCGTCTTATACACAGGGGCCATCTCCCCCCATTTTCTTAAATCTGAGTCCCCCAAAATAAGGGGTGTCATATACATGGAGGCATCTTATAGACAGAAAAATACAGTACTTTCCTCCTCTCCATTTCTTCTTAAGACAATTTGTTTAGGTTTTATGCCCAGTATATAGGTGTTACAGTTGCACTTGCACAACTCTCTGTCTCAGTGCTTCCCAAACTTCCCCCCTCCATGGCCCACTTGGAAATTGCTGAGGGTCTTGGCCAGTCTTAATGATTTTTCTGCCTGCTATAGCAATTCTAATGCGCTAGATTCTGCATATGATTTTTAATTCTGTTTTTATTGCTTCTTTTACTTCATATATTCCAATTTGAATCAAAATTGTAAGCGTTCATCACAGACATCCCACAGACCACCTGAATGACGCGTGCAGACCACTGGTCACTGTTTAGCAGCTGGCATGTGAGACAAAAGTCAGCACAGCTTCCCCTTTCTGTATAGATTAGTCTAAGAATTATGCCTGAGAGAAAACAAACTATAAGGTGACATGAATGAAGACCAGGCAGGACTCCAGATACAATGATGTTTAAAGTGCACTGAAGATAAGGATTTGTGTAAGCAATTCGCCATAAATCCAGTCACCAAGGGAACTGCCTCTGGCGACAGCCTGTGTCCTAGTCAGGACGTGCAGCAACATACAAATCCTCTCCCCTCCCTGGAGCTCCCAGTGAATTCCAAGGAATTGCTGTTCCAAAGCTCAGTGTGACATCATGCCTCCCCAGAGTCCAGTGTGGAAGAGTTGGTCAGGTGGGTGGATAATCTCTCCAGCTCTGGGATTTGGAACGGGCAGTGCAAGAGACTTGCCTTGGTTCTGCCTTCTCAGTGCAATGTGTGAGACAATGCCCTGCTGCAAGTGTCTTATACATGCCAGAGGACTTCGAGGAGGAGAAGGATGGGGGATGACCAAGAATAATGACTGGTTTCTGACGCAAGCTAACATTTCTGAACACTGTATAGAGGTGTTGGCCAAACTTGGGTCTCCAGCTGTTTTGGTACAGTGGAACCTCTACTCACGACCACGGTCCATTCCGGAGGCCCGTCCTTATGGTGAAACAGGTTGCTGGGAGAGGCGCCATTGTGCGCAGGTGCGGGCAGCAATATCACTGATTCTGTGCAAGCACGAACGGCGATTGCTGCTCCTGCGCAGGCGTGAACAGCGGCAAACCTGCCAGTTACTTCTGGGTTTGTCGTGGTCACAACTTGGAACGTTCGCAAGTGGAGGCGGTGGTAATTAGAGGTTCTACTGTACTACAGTTCCCATCATCCCTGACCACTGTTCCTGTTAGCTAAGGATGATGGGAGTTGTAGTCCAAAATCAGCTGGAGACCAAAGTTTGGCCAACACTGCTGTAGAGAATCACGAGAGCTAGAAATGTCTGGAGTGCATAGAAGAAAATTCCACTCATGGATCATTTATAAGCTGAACAACCCTAGGGAAAGTTCACCGATGTTGTGAAAATGTCTATTTTACACACTAGATTTGTCCACATTAATGTATCTCTGGGACGATAAGGATTTCCTGCATGGAGAAAAGTTGGCTATCAAAAGTTCAAGTCAGGATTGCACTTTCATTGAACTCCCAATGAGCAGATGCTGTAGGATAGCTTCAGGGTCCAGTCCTTCTTGAGGTTTATGTCCCACCAAAGCTGATGATAATAATTCTTGGCTTTTAAGCTCAAAAGGATCGAGAGGACTAATTAATTCATGTTTGTCATGGTCTCTCAGATTCTCTAATGTGTAAAGTATATTAGTAGATAGAAGGTGTCATCTTTCCAGTTGAAGCCAAGTTTTTTCTTTTCAAAAAAGCATTTTTGCCTGAAACACTCAAATCAGTAACTGCAGTGTTGGGAAAAGGTGCTTTAAAATTAAATCCTGTCTGACACGATGGTTCTACTTGTCTACATCAGCAGTGTGCATAAAGTCAGTCTGGCTCACAATGCACAGAGAATTGCTTGTGGAAGTATAAGCAAACATCACTCTCAAGAGAAATGACTCATGGGGGGGGCAACAGGTTTATGTCAGCAAAGCAAGGTGACATTATGGATATATATATATATATATATGGCCTTGAGCATCAGTAACCTATAACAGTAAAGTGAAGGACATGATTGGGGGATATTTTATTTTCCTCTTTGTGCTCTGCAATTTCTTTAAGCAAAATATATTAATATCCCGAGGTCACATGATAATGTTGAAGGGTTGGTGCTTCTGCTCAGACTGAAGACTGGTTCTAAATGAAAGATTTATATTGCTCTTTTTCAAAATGTGTTGTTTAATCTATTTCAATTGCTTTCCTACTGGCAGCCTAACCAAACTTTTCAGCTTTGCACATTCACTTCTGTTCCCTTAGGTCCATTTACTTTTATTGAGCTTCTTTGTGACAGCAATATTCTGTCCGTTGTATCACTGCAGTTAACGTCTAACAAATAAGAACCGGAACAGGTTATCCAGCTTTCACAGTGGTGCTTCTTAGGACAATACTTCACAACTACACACATATGAATATAAAAACATGGACAGGTTAGTGCAGGGGTAGGCAACCTAAGGCTCATGGGCCACAAGCGGCTCACGGGGTCATTTAACCGGCCCACAAGTCACCCCCAAACCGAGCCACCTGCTCATCGAGTCCCTGCATGCTGTGCTAAACTGGCGCAGTGTAGCGCAGGGACTCGCTTCCACAGTACCAGAAATCGTGTCTGTACAGATGCAGACATCAGAAATCGTGTCTGCGCAGACCCTGGAAATCGCAGGCACACACACACACACACACACAATCTGGCCCACAGAGGGATCTTCACTGGAGTGAACCGGCCCAGGCAAGGTAAACCTTGCTGACCCCTGGGTTAGTGTGTGTGACAACATAAGAGAGAGTGCTGGAGTGAAATAGTTAAACAGGTTGCCCAGTCAGGACCCAGGGGGGTGGAGTCAGTGGGACTATAAAACCAGCTCTGGGAGGGGCAAAGGGAGAGTTCATTGGAGGGGTTCATGGAGGAGTTTGTTGGGAGTTGGGTGGTTGGTTGGAGTGGGCATGAATTGGGATAGAGTTTGTGGGTAGGTTGAGTTAGTGTAGCGAAATAGGCTGAGTCAGGAACAGTTAGGGGCTAGGAAGACAAGAAATATCGGAGAGGTGGTTTAGTGAGTGAGAGCAGGTAGCGGAAGTTATAGGTCTGGATAGGCACCCCATGATTGTAATTGACCGATCCCGTTTATGAAACCACACGCTTGTTAAACTGCAATAAATAAACAGAAGTTTATGTTTCAATTTAACCCTGACTGGACTCAGTATTGTCCCAGGTAGGGCCTGGGTGGTGGCAGTGAGAAAGAAAGTGGTGGCACAGGGATCAATAGACAGTGAAACGTCCGGGGGCCCTGTGTGATTGCCACAGTGTGTTCATTCAGTTTTTTAAAGGAGAATCTCTACTGGCAAGAGGCATGAATAAGCAAAATTCCAAAGATCTGTTCAGAATGTTTTGGGCTGGAAATTTGTGCAAAACCAAAAGTAGTCCCCCTTTGTGATGGAGAAATATCTAACTTGGTTAATATTTTTCACAAAACAGCTGTATTTTTAGTACTCGACCTTAAGTTAATGGCAGGTCTTAGTAAACATGTTCAGTCCATGTTCATGGAATGCATTAACTCTTCTGGGTGTGCACAAAATGACCTTGGAGTACATACGTAAAACCTATGAAATCCAATGTACGTGTCCCAGCTGGAGTAAGAATTCAGACTGGAATGCTTTATCTTAATCCTGTTCAAAGAAAGAATGTTGGACGTTTCCTTAACTCTGTAAAGGAGAAATGGTCAGATCGAAACATGGTACGTGCCTGCAGAGTCTCATCCTAGTTGGTGTCTGATCCAACCTTTCGTCTTATCTTTTGCGCCTAGGGCACATATAGCAAAGAGGGGAGTGATCTCTTTTGTGTTTTCTCTTTCTCCCTTGCAATGTTCAACTTCATAGCAACCAAACTGTTTTGCTCTCATGGTTCTCTTCTTTCTGTAGCACATTGCCCTTAGGCAAGTGTGAGCTCCTTACCTACTGATTTTTGCCTAAGGCAAATGCACTAGCAAAGTAACACAGCTTTATGTCTTCTTTTTTATGGTTCTCGAAGTGGAAAGTTTCCACTATTTTTTAATATACATTTTTGCCATATATTCTAGTACAAAAACCTCTGTCCATAATTTTAATATTTTCTACCATGCAAGCTGCCTGTACAGTATTTAATGAGCAGTTTCTAATATTATGCATTTTAAAGGACTTCCTTTCAGGCAGCCTATTTCAAGGCTCTCTTGGTTTGACTCTATATTAATTTAGAAGTGACACTTTTGCTAGAAATGACAAGTATATAATATTGTGTGTGAGTGAGATTGCTCTTGCTCATACAGCAGCGTCAAGAATTAATTAGTTTTTTAAAAATGAATATGGGAATTATATTGGTCAGAAATGACACATCCAGATGATTCACTATGATGGATGACTCGTTGGACCATTATTAGTAAATTCAAGCAGTTTTAAGCTCTCTCTTACAGAAACCACTGACTGTCTGCCCTCTGAGCCATCCTTTTTTCTTTTTCTTTTTCCCCTCTGCTCCATCCTTTCAAATGCCTTAGGAGTGCTAATTATATTTCACTGCTCAGCACAGTTTCAGTTGCAGGCTGGTATTGGAAAGCTTTGTGTTAAATGCATTGTTCCCTTCAAATCAATGAAATTGCTTAGGGTGTGAGTTATCACTAAATACATCCCATTGTGCTCTGCAGATGGAACCTACCTATTAATTTTACATCTAAAAACTTGCAGGTCTGTTCACTGTATCAAGAAATAGGGAATCTTTCCCTAAGGTTTCATTCTACCTTGTAGTGAACTCCAAAACCTCACACATTTCATTATTTTTGTATCGCTTCAACCCAAATTGAATTCGAGTTTGTACCACTTTCTGAGAAACTTGATACAAGGCCTTTATTAAGCTATATTGTTTGTAAGCTACAAGCCAATCTAGTTCCAACAGGTTTATTGAAGTTCAGTTTGTTCTTAGGTCTAGCCAAAAGTTTTCGATCGGCAATTTTCAAACTAAGTTCTAGGGAACTCTTACAAGATAAGGTTTTCCTCAATAGGAAGATCACTAATGGTGGGCCAAGTTTCCTGAAAGATAGCCGTCCATCACTCCTGCCACGGATGAGTCCAAATCTGACTGGTTATACGTCATTGTGACAACATCACATTTGCAGTGTGATCCCTGATTGGCTACATTCCCTGGAACAGGAAAAGTTTTTAAAGTGCTGTCTTAGATGCAACAATTTCTTGAAGAAGCAGAAGATCATAACTCTCTACCAGGGAGATTTCCATTAATATTACTGTATTAAATCAATATACTGTAGATAATGTAAGTAGATAATGTACTCTTAATGTCTGTGCTTTCAGTCAACCACCAGAGCAGTATTTTAAAGGGGATTACTATTAGGTAATTATAAGATGTCAGCCTTTGATGAGAGCGAAATAACAAAAGGTCAAAATAATACTGTTTGTCAAATAAAACTGAAGCGTGAAAGGAAAGCATTGCACAAAACATATGTCTTTCAATTTTATTAGCTAAAATAATTCATATTTATTTAAGCAGAGTACTTGAGGACAGTACACAGGCTCTGTCAAACAGTTGTTCAGCAGATGCACTTACATTCATACCACACAAAGCTTTAAAAGTAGTAGCTAATTTTCCCTAGGTTGTAAACCATAGTCAAATCAAAGTTCTCACTTTGCTCCCAGGCTCATGCTACCCTGGGAGCAAGCCTTGGTTTGTCTTATCACCTGAACACAGGCTAGTGGTTTGTTTTTCCCAAACAACCCACGAGCAGAAAGCCAGGCCTGAGCTACTACTTATGGCTTCTTTGAAAGGAAACAAGTCATGAACCTGAGTTGAGACAGCACCATAAGCCCAATGCTTGTGGTTTCTTGCAATATGGTCAGCAAAAAGTCAAGTGGGAACTTTTGAGCAGCGTGCACCAGCATGCTGTTTGTTTCCATTAAACCCATAGTTAAGCATAGTTGCACCCCAGGCCATTGTGTGCAAACTGCCGCAAAGCAGTTCAACATGTACAAGTTTCCAGTTCCAAGAAAAGACACTGTTTACTTCTCTCTCCCTACCCCGAAATCACCTGTGGACGAGGACATAGGTCTATCCCTGGTGTATACATAAGAGCCAAATGGGCCAGGATATGGGAGAATAAGGTGAGCTGGGAGGTGGAGCTAACACTTAGCGCTCCAGTGACATGCACAGGAATAAAATATGAAGCCAACTGAGAGAAGCTTGCCTGTGAGCTTGAAGCCTTGGAGAAAACATTTGAATTTGTATTTCCTCAGGAGGATTACTCAAACACCTGGAATTAGGTTTTAGATTTTCTGTTTTTCCAGCTGCTAGAAGAAGAAATAACTATATTAAAACCCTAAGGAGATTCCTTCTTGTGGAGCATCGTGTGTTGCAGAACTACCAGGAACAGCTCTACTAGTTTCTTCTACCCCTGGTTTCACCTAAATTTACCTTCCTACCATTCAAAAGCATCCCTTTTTCTAATCTCAGTGAGCAAATAACACCTCATTTTCAGTCTTTGAAAACTACCAGTATGTTTCCCATACGCTGATGTGGAAAGTATTCCCTGAAGGTAGAAAGTTTCAGATGGAACAAAAACTGATGGTGATATGTGAGCTCTTGAACCAGCCCCGGCTGCCACTTGTAGACTCCAGACTCTTGGCTTGATTATGATTATTCCAGAATTCACTGCAGTACCCCAGCATAAATCAGGTTACAGGTTCAGATGTCACAGCAAAGCTCTAGGATAGATGGCTAGGCATAAGCTAAGAAGTCCCAACACCTGACATGACCCCTGAGCTCCCCTTTGGAACAGTCATTTCCACTCTTTTCCCAAGCCACGGGACTGAGCATGCAAGTGAGCACTCCTAAAAGTAGGTTGAGTCTCCTGGGTCTGTTGCTTATGCCATCACAGCCATCACTGCATCCTTAGAAGTGGAGTCAACACAACCAGCTCACTCTAGTCTGGCCTCATTTGCTTCCCTGGGAGCGGGGAACAGTTCAATGACAAGAGGCAGTGCTGGGGTCAAGTCAGGTGGCTCCACTATAGCAGTCAGGGCATCTGATGTCATTGGGGTGGGCCACACCCCTGAGAACCTGCTTGGCCCCTATGTAAACACTCCAGACAAATAAAACACAGGCTAAAAAGCAGGCACCCCCAACTCCCCACCCCCAGCAACTCCTTATGTTGAATATTTTTCTTTTTAAGCCAACAAAAGTCAATAAAAATAGAATTTGGGAGGTGCAGAAGGAACAGCTAGTCAAATATTAACTGGCTTAGTATTCTTCTATCAGAAATGGGTATCTTTTGACAAAAATCAAGATACAGTGGTACCTCAGGTTAAGAACTTAATTCGTTCTGGAGGCCTGTTCTTAACCTGAAACTGTTCTTAACCTGAAGCACCACTTTAGCTAATGGGGCCTCCTGCTGCTGCCGTGCCGCCAGAGCATGATTTCTGTTCTCATCCTGAAGCAAAGTTCTTAACCTGACGCACTATTTCTGGGTTAGTGGAGTCTGTAACCTGAAGCATATATAACCTGAAGCGTATGTAACCCGAAGTACCACTGTGATATGTTTTCTTCCCTGAACATATCCTCATGCTAAGTCAGTATTAAGGTTCTTTGTACTTGTGATCTAAATTTTTGTTTCTCTTTGCAGCAAACTCCCAAGTTGGGCAAGAGCTGTTGTCCCCAAAATATTTTATGTTACAGAGAAGGCATGGAATTACTACCCATACACAATTACAGGTACGTTTTAAAGAACAGAGGGGAAGTGTTGTTTTAAGGTGAAGGTCATGTTTGCCCTTTGGTGCATTTGCAGAGGTCAGCAAACTTTTTCAGCTGGGGGGGGCGGTCCACTGTCCCTCAGACCTTGTGGGGGGGCAGACTATATTTGGGGGGGGGTGAACAAATTCCTAGGCCCAGAAATAACCCAGAGATGCATTTTAAATAAAAGGACACATTCTACTGATTAAATAAAAGGACAAACACACTGATTCCTGGACCATCCGTGGGCCGGATTTAGAAGGCAATTGGGCCAGATCCGGCCCCCGGGCCTTAGTTTGCCTATCCATGGGATAGACCTACATTGGCTCCAGGTATGCTTCTGAGCACAATTCGAAGTGTTGGTGCTTTAAAGCCCTAAACGGCCTCAGCCCAATATACCTGAAGGAGCATCTCCACCTGCATCGTTCAGCCCAGACACTGAGGTCCAGCTCTGAGGGCCTTCTGGTGGTTCTCTCACTGTGAGAAGTGAGGTTACAGGGAACCAGACAGAGGGCCTTCTCGGTAGTGGCGCCTGCCCTATGGAACGCCCTCCCATCAAATGTCAACGAAATAAACAACTATCTGACTTTTAGAAGGCATCTGAAGGCAGCCCTGTTTAGGGAGGTTTTTAATGTTTGATGTTGTCCCTTTTTATTATTAATATTCTGTTAGGAGTCTCCCAGAGTGGCTGGGGAAACCCAGCCAGATGCACGGGGTATTCATCATCATCATTATTGACAAGATAAGCAAATAGGCAGACCCTGGTATAAGGCAGCTTCCTTATGTTTCTCTCTATCTCTCTTGGTTCCTTGGAGCCATCAGGGAGGATGGTTTTGGGGAGGTTTCTGTTGTGTCCCAAGAGCTGTTGAGTCTTCATGCCCATACAAAGTCTGACCCCTGCTATTGCTGCCAAAGGAAGTGTGAGGAGGAAATAGGATTCAGAGACAGTGCACCCTTCCCCCCACAATTGCTTTGGCATATTTTTGCTGAAGCGAGCCAATTTCTCCTCCCACAGTTATTGCTTGGGGGACAAACTTTCCTTCACCTCCGCAGTATCTGCTGAGAGTAGGAGGTGGGGGCGTGAATTGAGGGTGAGAGCTCAACGTGCTGACTTGCAGGAAATGCATTTATTTTCAAAAGGTTTATCTGCACAAAACCAAATCATTTGCCAGATACAAATGTAATTCCAGTAATTAAATGCGGGTACGGAATGGTGACTTCAGTCCTCTGAGGAGTGTGCCTAACCTAAATTGTATTCCTCTGTAAGGACAGTATTTGACCTTATAGGAATATGTTATGAAATCAGCATCTAATCTGTCAGGGCAGCTTCAATCTGTTTTGTGGTTTTTTTCCTGAAATTGACCTCACTGGAGTCCTATTTATAAACTGAATCAGAAACTGGAATATCCCGGTCGTATTGAGAAAGAGCTAGGATATCTAAGACAAAATAAAAGCAAGGCATTCCCCTGACTTTCGCTACAAACAGGCTGTAGAATGCTTATCCGTTTTCTATTCATGTTTGCAGGTGATGAGTTTACCACCTGTCTCCTTGGGGTGCCTTAACAGCTCTTGGATGGGATGATAGGGAGAGCAAAATTATGCAAAAATATCTGCTGCCCTGGTGCTCCAGGAATCAAACTTCCACATTCACCAGCGATGAAACAATTAGAAATACAGTCTTTCTGCACTGTTCCTTCCCATATAATCCACAGGAAATGCAATATGCATGTCAGCACAATGATTAATGTATTTTTACATTTTAATAAAGCAACATGAACAATAAAATAATTATGGCATTATTCTTTCCCCCCCTTTCTCCTCTTCCTATTGGGCAAATTTGGATCAGAATACACGGTAAGTTTTGCTTACTTTTTGTCATGTTAATTAAGTCTCGGAAAGGTTTTAGTAAAGCATAGTAATGGGGTTTTTCATAGTGGTAATATTGCTCAATAGAAGATGGATCCTCTTTTATATAACTAGGGAAGGATATTGCAGCTAATATTAGGAGGGCCTCATCAATTATTTAACTTAATATTATGTTAATTTCAGAAGCTTGATATATTTTGCTACCCAGTAGTTCTAATTGAAATGAAACCTCTATAAAAATAAGAAAAGGACAAGGCCTTTAAAGTGCCGGTTATTGCTGGTAGTCGAGAGACAGATTTTATTTTATCTTTTATTAACTCATAAAATGGTCATCTATCTGGATACAGTGTCTGGGAAAACTCTTCATTCTGCAAGCAAAATTAAACACATCTGGGCTCAGTGCCCAGAAAGGAGAAAAGGAACTGAATAAAAGAATGAGAGACACAAAAGGCACCAATACACTTACAGGTGCACTGAATCTATGATTCAATTTGGAACAGAAGAACCTTCTAATCTTTCCTCTTTCGACCGCAATGCAAAAATTGTAGAGGTGTTATTCTGCAATCCAGTTCCTTACCCTATAGCTGTTTGAAGAATAAGCAAAGCAAAGGATAAGAACAAGCAATAGTTTGATGAAATGAGAAAGGGCTGGGATGGGCCTTTGCTAAATTAATCAAGTGATCAAACGGAAGCAGAACCCAACAGTTTCTGGACTACATTGCTTATGCCTCACTGTGAACATGCCCACTCCTTGAGATTATTTGGTGGATGGAGCGGTAGCTTTACATAGTTTAGTTACCACGTGGCATAATATATAGTTGCATCTTGGTGGAGTCAGTCACTAGGCAGACTGTATTTAGTTATTTCTGGGTAGAGTCAGGAGCTTTCTGTTACTGTTTCTGTCCGTGTTTAAGAGAGACAATAAATTCTTGTCTAGCTTGCTGTCTACTGCGTCGTCTAAGCCTTCCATGATAAGTTGGCAGGCACAGAGGACACCAGAAGAAGTCTCAGCCTCACTGGGTAGTCTCAGCCTCTTTATTTGTAGTATTTATTGCCAGGGAGAGCTCCATAAACCCTCACTCTCGGTAACCTTGGCAACTGTTTGAAGGCTGTTGCAGAACACTGGAGCTCATGTCATAAGGCGTGAGGAGCACATTGTCCAGCCAACTCCAAGGATCTGTACCTTCAGATTACACTCCAAAGTCTTGCCCAGCAAATATGGTATTCAGTGGAAGCTTCTTGGGATGGAAGATAGCAGGGCAGAGAGAGAGATGGTGCCATAGATAATGCCATATATCCTGAAATCCAATTGCCTTTCTGGAGAAGGGAAAACGTGTTACAATGGAGCCGTGAAATATCTTAACAACTTGCCTCATTTCGAGAGAAACTGATAGCAAATCTAAGGTGTTGAAAGGAGATAGCGTTGAACCTGCTCGTCTGCGCTTCGAAACTACATCTCTGAATTATTACAGAGGTTGACTCCGCAGCTCATAACAGGTAGCTGAGTGACTTGATTCTGTAGGCAGTGTTCATAAAATGCATCAGTGGGCAAAAGGCTTGGAAAAAGGCGTACCAGTTGAAATCATGATGGTGTTTTGCCTGCCAATTATAAGGTACAAATGGTAAGGAAAACCTTAGCGTCTCAGGACTGAGTGTCTCATACTGAGGCTGCCTTAATAAGAATGGGATTACTCCGATAGATGGTGCCTTCCCACCAAATTCCCTCAACTTCAGATGTTGAACAGTGGGACGTAATTGTGCCATTCCTATTCTAGTCTTTTATTTACGATTTTGTTGTGGAATTGGGTCGTGAGAAATTTGTCCACCTGCTAAAGGGAGGATACGACTTTCTGTTCTGCAGGCAGCATTGCTCTCTTTCCCACTCTTGTTTCAAGTTAGCTCACAATGCTCCCATATGTGGAACTACGGGGGGGGGGGCAAAGAGGAAAAACAGGTTACTTACCTGTAACTATGACTCCGTGAGGGGTCATCTGAAGGTGAGGCCTTGGTGGTGGTACCGCAACTGGGGACTTCCTGGTCGGCACTGGCTCATGAGGGGGTCTTTTTTGGTGGTGGTTCCCCATTTGTGGAATGTCCTCCCTGATGAGGTGCACCAGTCTCCCGTTATTGACTTTTCCAGAGGAAGTTGAAAACATTCCTGTTTACTCAGGCATTTGATGCTGAAAGATGCTGTTTCTGGCTGAAATAATGTTTTAAGCTGTTTTAGAATGCTTTAAATATATACATTATTGATGTATTAGCTGGCCTGGGTTCCTTCAAACGAAAGGGTGGGATCTAAATCGTAGAAATAAATCAGTGACTCAAGCCACCCTCCTTCTCCGCTGCTGGATGGAATCTAGACACATATTTTAAAATGCTGTGAAAATGCTTTAAAAAAAAGTTTTGAAAAATATATTGAATTTGCCATAACTCACCATCGCCATCTAGTTTCACATTTGTATATAACACACTTGAAACGTTTTATTTGCAGCTGTATAGCTGACTCCATGGTGTCCTTACAAGCTGCAGGTGTCCTCACTCTTATTTTTTTCTTATTTATCTGCTGTGGCAGACCTTCTGGGAACAAGTGGAAAGACAGCAACCACAGTCCTTTGACCGTGCACCTTGAGAGCTGCATAGTTGTGTCATTATGAAAGTTTCCAAACTTTGCTAGGGACAGAAGGGAGAGCAGGCCTTCTGCCACCTTGTTACAGTAGTAAGCTACACCCCACCTGAGAAGTATGCCATTTTGGCACAGCCCCCAAAACATTGCCCACTTGTGCAGTGGAAGGAATGAATGTCGCCTTGGGGCTTCACCCATTTTTATTTTCCTTTGGATTGTCTTGATATATATATGCTGGCGACTATAGAAATAATTGTGCCTTCAACCCCAGAGGTACCGTATTTTCCACTCTATAAGACGCACTTTTTCCCTTCTAAAGTAAAGTAAGGGGAAATGTGTGTGCGTCTTATGGAGTGAATGCAGGCTGCGCAGCTATCACTGAAACCAGAACAGCAAGAGGGATCGCTGCGCAGCGATCCCTCTTGCTGTTCTGACTTCTGGTATAGCCGCACAAAGCCTCTTCAGGACAACGGGAGGAGCACTCCCCCTGCCCTAAAGAGGCTTGACGCAGCTATCCCAGAAGCCAGAACAGCAATCCCTCTTGCTGTTCTGACTTCGCTTTGCTGGAGAGGCGCTGCAAAGAGAGGGAAAGCTGCGCAGCACCCCTTCAGCGAAGCAGGAGGAGAAATGGAGCCCCTTCCGTTTCTCCTCCCGCTTTGCTGGAGAGGCGCTGCGCAGATTCAGAATATTTTTTTTCTTGTTTTCCTCCTCTAAAACTAGGTGCGTCTTATGGTCGGGTATGTCTTATAGAGCGAAAAATACGGTATTTTATGTGATTTTCCTTCTAAATAATAATATAGTTAGCTCTGAGACAAGGGGCACCTCTCATTGATCAGAAATTGTTCAGAGGACAGGGGCAGAAGGAGCAGCAAAAGTGTTCCATGTCCAAAAGCATATTAGACTACTTTCAGTGTATCTAACTGCTTTAGAGTGACTCAGGCTATTGGTCCATCTATCTCAGCATTGGCTACGCTTAACATTGTTCTCCAATCTTGCTACCTGAGATGGTGTAATTGGAAATGCCAGGGATTCAAATGGAAACCATGAAACAAGTTTCCCTTGGCCTGAATAACTCTCCCTTCCCCAAGACTGCTTTCTGATTCTTGTTGGGTTGGTAAGCCTATTCCTACTGTCTTTTAAATCGGGGGGGGGGGGGGTTGAGTACAGCTGCCTGCCCATATGGTTCACCCCAGGATTGAGGACAGTGCACTGTGTTATCTTTTATATTAACCATCTGCAATTGATTGGATTTTGGCAGTAATCAGAATATATTTTCTGCACAGTGACTTGCTTTCACTCAGCATGAATAATGATAGGGATGAAAAAGAAAGGTTTAAAAGGAATTGGGTTAGCTAGTTTCGGCTATTGTTTAGTTTGCAGGCTAAAGACCTCTCTCTTGGCTTTGTCGTCTGTGCAACGGATGGTAACTTCTAAACTTTTATTTAGGGTACTTCAGTAATGCTAGGAAGAGGCCTACCATGTGACATCATTAATCCTTTGCCGTAACAGCCACAGAAATGTTAGAAATTTTTCATTTGGTGCACACAATGTTGAGTGGGTTGTTAATTGGTGAATTCTATCCAGAGGCTCAGAACGTCATGGAAAAATGCCTGTCTATTACATCTGCCTTTGATTGTGAAACATCTGGAGTGGCTGTATCATAAATTCCACACTCCATCAGTCACCAACCAGAGGCTTCCAAGCTTAGTTTAAAGTGCAGTGTTGAAAAGACTGAGATATATGCAATGACAAATATCAAACTCAACATCTCTTGGCTGGCCATGTCTCAGTAAATGGTATATGTTAGCTTGCTTTCCTGAGGGCTAAAGCTTACTCATTTCTTACTTTGCTGTTAAAGAAACCAGCCACTTCATTGCCTTCCTCAGAAATAGCACTTCCTGATAAACTAGGTTACTATGCCACATTGAACATTTCAGGATTACCCAAGTTGCATTTTAATTATTTACTTACACCTGTTGTAACTATTCTGCCAACATTAATGTCAGCAGCAAGGGTTGGGATACTCTCAACTTCCAGAAACTTGCAATTTTAAATTAGGAAAACCCTTTGGAGACTATTATTCACTTGCTGTGCTGGTCCCGTGAGTTACTTGAGAGGCGAGGTCCAAGTCCGGTCCATGGTCAAAGACGCAACATGGAGGCAGTCCGCACTAGCTGAAGCTGGGTGCAGGGCAGGGAGTCGGGTGAAGTCAGGAACAGACATGCGAGCAGGGAGCCAGGGCGGGTCAGGACCTCAGGCAGGAAAGCAGGACAGGGTTCAGGCAGGAACTATCAACCAACAGTGTTGTTCCCGCAACTTGGGACTGGGGCTGGCTGGCTTTTATCTGCCCCGAGGCATAGGGTGG